TTTTGGTCTTGCAGAGTTATGTTCTACTGTGTACATGACTATAAACCAAGACATACAAGCAACATTTGTAGATATGAGACATTTAGAGACATCATATTTCCACTTTCTATAGGCGAGATTACCATCACACAGGATGACGTCTCATGCCTCCTGCATATTCCCATCAAGGAAAAATTATTTGGCCATAGAAGGCTTGGTTGAGAGGAATCCATGGAGATGATGGTCACCCATTTGGAGGCTGAACTAACTAAGGCGAAAAATGAGGCCGCTGACACTAAAGGTGCTCATACTAGATTAAGTTTTTTGGAAAAGCTTTATAAAAACCATTTGTAGTGGGATGGAGACACCGAAGGCGATGATCTATAGGTTGACTACCATCAGACTTGTGCATTGAGGTGTTACCTCTTGTTGTTGGTTGGCACATCCAGGTTTGTGGACAAAAGGGAAACCTACACATATGTGGTCTACCTTCAGTACTTCATCATCTTGACAATAATTCACGAGTACAACTGAGGGGCTTCTTGTTTGGTCTACCTGTACTTAAGGCTAGGCGAGGGTTATCTTTGGAAAACAAAGAAAATGATAAAGAGTTATACGCTACTTATAGTAATTTACTCTTACTAATAAATTCATAATTCATTTATTACATTTGTTATTAATATTGTATCTAAACCATTTTCAGAGATAAGTCATCTCCCACTTCCTTCACATCACCGGGTGGAAACCTGTGCCTACCCACACTAAGGTTTGGCCATGTGCTGACGCATTTACCCTATACAGGGGGAATAATGCGATCAAGCAATTTAGAGTTCATATTGACCGTCATGTACCATATGACATTTCTTTATGCCCATATGGGGGTCACCGTGAGAGGTGTTTGCTAGACGTCATTTCCTTATACTTTATATGGTTGGCATGTGAGTCATCTCTTATGTATCCTTATCTACCCAGATGATTCATGTGCCAGTTTGAGTAATTATAAATTATTCAGAGACATCCATCAGAGTCTTCTCCTCCCACCATCCAACATAGAGATCTTGATGCAATACTAGAGGATTTCGAGAGTTACTTGGTACCATAGAAGTATCGCAATGTGCCAACTCCTTTATAATGGTATTATACTAACAACTACATGACATGTTCTTTAGGGTGTCCCATCCTATCATGACATTAGACGCTCTTGGAAGACCACCTAGGCTAGCTAATCAGGAGATACTTGAGACTAGGGATGACCAGGCCAAAGACGTGTCAGCGGTTTGTCAATGTATTATGGAGTTGGGAGATCGAGCATAGAGAGAGGACTTTTTTAGGATGGTATTCTCCATTTCTCTCTTGGGGTTGATTTCCGAGGCACAAAATCCCTTGTAGTACAACGAAGGACAAGACTTGGGTTAGACATACCAATAAATTTTTGTTTGGTTGAATTATTTTGTATTTTTGGAATAACTTATTGTATGATTTTTTTCATAATTGAATACTATGTTTGAATCTATTAATATATATATTTTCCTTCTAATTCATCGCCTAAAATGACCTAAAATATGTGTGCCTAAAAAAATAACAAATTTAGTGAATAAAAACAAAATAATTGAGTACATAGGGTATTTCAGAGATGCATCTCTGGATCATATTTTATTCAAAATGGAATGGGTATCAGAAAGACAAATATTTATGTTATTTTGGATGCGTCCAAAGATGCATCTCTGGATGCATGAATGACAATTTCGAATTTCCATAGGCGTGAGCGCACCCATAAGGTTGGAAAGAGTATTCCCCATTTTTCTACACCCAAATCGAAGTACTCTATATGGTTTGGGTATTGAATTTGGCCATCTCCATTAAGCGACCAACCTAGAGAAATCTTATAAGATCAATGATATAATCAGTGTTTTTTTATAAGGTTATTTTTCGAATTTGTTTAATATGACAAGGACAAAAAGAGTATTAACCTAAAATTAAATATGAGAATGAAATAAGTTTATGATGTTGAATTAAATATTTGTAAGACTAAATAAAATTTGATTAAACATGACAATTTTTTAGAGTTGAAATAGGAGCTATCAAAAAGATAGTGTCTCATAAGTTTTCCCATCTCAAATTGACGAGACATTTGTACATAATTTTAGAAAAAAGGAAACAAATTAGATAAAAATGACTAAAATGAAACGTTTTGAAAGTTAAGAGATTAAAATGACACGAAAAAAAGTTAAGGGATCAATATGAATCCAAGCTATAGTTAAGGGACCAAAATGAGTATTTTACTTTTTTTTATATATAAATAATATCCGGATCATTTATTTTTTTTATAAAAACATTTAATTCTCGCTAATAAAAATAACATTGTTTATATATTTTTTTATATAAAACCATTTTTTTATAATGTTTTATAATTTATTTTTAATTGAATGTGACATTTAATATTTTTAAAATAGAAAAATGAAATATAACGTAAATATTAGAAAATTTTATAAAATTAAAAACTAACAAATTTATTATCATTTAAAAGTAAAAAGAATAAAAAAGGAAACAAATCAAATACATATAATATTATTGTTTCGTGGATTTTGTTGTGTAATAACGCTATTATATTAACAAAATATTAAATATAGACAAATTAATAGATCTATATGGATAATTGTATTAAAAATAAATTATTTTTCACTATAAAAATAAATTATTTTTTAGTATAAAAATAAATCTTGTAACTATTAAATAATATGTATAAAAAATTAATATTCATAATTAGTTGTTCATCAAAATATAACATATAATAGCAAGTTATTTATAATTTTATCTCCATCCACTCATAAAATCATCTTGTGTTTACCCTTTTAGTCCGTCCAAGATCTCTTTATTCTATTTGTTTTCCTCACGATGACAATTTTAATATTTTTCTCGTATTAAGATAAGTAGCACATATTTATTAAATCGTTATTTTAATGACATAGATTTCAATAAGTAATTTTTTTTTCATTTTTAGATCAATAATAAATATCACATTCTATTTTTCTCTTATTTCGATCATTATTATATTTTTACCGTATAGATAAGATATTATAATTTTTCCCATTAAATTATTGTAATATATATTTACTTTATTTATTTTAAATGTTTTTGAAAAATCAATTTTGTAAATATTTATCAAATTTAGACTTTAATGTAGCAATAATAATAATTTTACAGATATCATTATCAACAATTGAAACAAAAAATTATATTTTATGTCTATCTTCTTTATAATTTAAGTTATTTGAATAATAACATATAAGTAATACTTTTTTTCTTTTGTTTATTTTATTTTATTTTATTTTTACTTTTCTTCTTTCTGATTTGAATTTTATTGACATTTTTTATTTTTTTATTTTATTTATTTAAAATGCTCTTTTAGTATAATTTATATAGTTAACATTTTTATAAAAAAATATTTTAAATTTAACTAAATATACAATTTATTAATAATCAAATTATGATTACGATCTTTTTGTGATTTGTAATATATATAAAAATAATAAAACAAATTAACATTCATTAGATATAATAAGATATAATAAATTAAATTTAAATAATAGATAAAATTGGAAGATATGACTAATAAAAGTTTGGAATCATTTATAATATAAAAAAATTGAGTTTTTTTATCATTGAAAATGATGAAATGGTTCATATTTTTATAGTCTATCCGAACATTTCAAAATTTGGAATCACGAATTTACACGGTAGGACTATCGATCTTTAGAAATATTAAAATTTGAGTTTTCTAATAAATTCTGACCGATTTTTAGAAATGTTAAAATTTGTTCTGATTAACATCAATGAACCACATACCATCATCATCACACTTATCTCTGTATAATTTATCTATTCTCTTTTCATCTTATTACAAAAATTGTACTATCTGATTACGAAAATTATACTTACATCTATATTAACTTACGTACCGTACAAAAATTGTGCTTACAAAAATAGAAAAAATCAAATAAAAGAAAATGATTTGGAAACCTGATAGTAGTTTTTGTCAGATGAGTTTGGTTGAAAACTTACATAAATGTAGAAAATCAAATCAAACTAAGATTTTATTCTGACTTGATGTCATTCCTTCGTCTTAAATCATCATCATATTTATCAGTGTATAATTTATCTATTCTCCTTTTATCTGATTACAAAACTTACACTTTTATCTAATTATGTATCCATAACAAAATGATTTGTGAATAGATATATTTACTTTTCTTATACAATAGATTTCTCATAGTTATTTCCATATTTAAAGGATGAGAAACCAAATGAAAAATAACCCCACTACTTTTAACTTTTCATTATTACTCACATTAATTACTATTTTATTTTTTATAATTTTTAAATAGAAAAAATTTAGGTGCATATTATTTATGTTTTTTCCAATGAAAGTAGAACTAGTGTATAATTTTCACTTATACATATGTAATTTCTTCCTATTTTTACTTTTTAAAAAATATTTAAGTATATTTATTATATTTTTATTAGAGAAAAATATGAACCCCATCTATGAAATTGTATCTAAGTATTCTCCTTTTTAAATTAAATAAATTTTGTAATAAATATTCCTATAAAATTTAATTTTTGGCCAAACATATAAATATGGATATTATTCAGGAATAATATTTCCAAAAATATGGTTTCAAAAAATATTATTTCATAATTTAAAAGAAGCATACCTCTATAGTTACACATTAAAGATTCTTGATTTTATAGAGTATCAAGAAATATATATTTTTGTTACAAAACCTCAGAATTTCCAGTGATTACTCATAAAATTCAACTCACCTAAAATTAAAGGTTTTGACAAGGTGTCCTTTTTTTGTCTTGCTGCATGCTACACGAGTTGCACGAATTATTGTTAGAATATTCTCATCACACTGAGACAAAAACCTTTGAGTCCAAATAGTCAAAGGCAAAAAAACTGAATAGTCATAAGCACCAAATATCGTTACCAAACATTCTTAACAAATACAAAAGTGACGATGAAATCTTCAATCACATGTCTTTCCATTCTAATCCTCTTAACAACCTCAAACGCATCAAACCAAACCGAGAATCTCTCTGTCTACGAAACCCTTCAGCAATATGATTTCCCTGTTGGTATTCTTCCACAAGGTGCCACAAGCTACGAGCTAAACAAAAACACAGGCAAGTTCACGGTGTATTTTCAAGGAACATGCATCTTCGGTATAAAATCTTACGATCTTAAGTACAAATCTACTATCAAGGGATTTATCTCCAAAGGTAAACTCAGTAAATTGAAGGGTATTAGTGTCAAAGTTGAACTCATATGGCTCAAAATTGTGGAGGTGACTCGTCATGGTGATGATCTTGAGTTTTCTGTTGGTATTGCTTCTGCTGAATTTAGTATTGATAACTTTTTAGAGATTCCTCAGTGTGGGTGTGGATTTGATTGCAACGGTTTGAAAGGTAGTGGTAATTTTTCTTCTATTTAGATTTGTTTTTTATACTAATTTTATGTTCAATCATTGTTCTGTCAAGAACACCACCTTAGATACACATGTTGTTTGTTCTTCGATTCTACTTTGTGGTATAACTTTGAATCGTTTTACCTTTATTATTAAGGATAAGAATGAATCTTAATACCCTTATTCTTAGTGTGGCCTAAAATTGTGGTGAATATGTCTTTAAATTTGAATCAGCCTAAAAGGAGATTTGAATCATGACTTGTTTATATAGAATGAGGATTGTGTGAGAAGTGTAAAAAACGAGAGAACAAAGGGGTTTTGAGTTTGGGGGCAACTATGAGTTTGGAAAACACATTGTTTTAAACGAGTGTATGTATGACCTATCTAATTGATTTATTTATGTCATATTGTTGCTACTCAATAAAGTGGGAATTGTTTCCCATTTCTATTTGAGTATGTTTTTCCTTTTGTTTTCATTTTACTTTATCTATTTGATCCAGCAGAAGCATGCAATAGGGGGAAGATGCAATGCTCTATGATGTTAAACTCTATTGGCTTGGCACTTGCGTGTTGTGTCTAGAGAGCTCAATTTTCCATGAGTTGAATTGCCTCAAAAAACTGATTCATATAGGATGATTGAGACCATCCCCACAACCATTAGACTATCTATACATGGAGACGAAAATTGTCCATCCAAGAGTGACTTGACAACTTGACAACTTTGCCAAGAGTGATATGACATGACAAACGTGTATATATATATATTATGTTCTTCACCTGACCATTATTGTTTCGGAGTAGGTCGGAGTCCAATCCATACGAAATCGAGTCACCAAAGTCTGGTCAAGTGAAGAAGATGAAATAGACACATCTTAGCGATGTATTCGATTAGGATTGATGGGACCTTATTGAAACAACCGGCTGAAAATTATCAAACAATGAAGTCGCCATCGAACGTCTTTTATCCCACATGTAGGGAAAGGTAAACATCGAGAAAATCTGAGAAGGGAGAAGTCACGGTCTTGCGACCGAGAGATCGGGTAAGAGAGTCTGTTACGCGAGGAGAAGATATTAGCACCCCACACGCCCGTAGTACTCTACGATATCCACTCTTGTTATCTATCTTATGAGTGTGTTCAATCTATGCTTACTGTTTACTATACTACTGAAGGGAGGAATGCATGCAAAAGAAAAGGGGAAAGGAATGTAGAGAAAATAAAAGTTGTGCTCGTTCGGGCCCTACCCCAATGCCTACGTATCCTTTTAAGGAATCTTGAGTGACTCATCGATCAACAAGAAAGTAAAAAAACACAAGCACAACACATATAGCAAATGAAGTGCGAAATGCCTGCTACAGGTCTTTAAACAGCGACTTTGAGCGCACGCTCTTTATTTTCTACTTCTCATGATATCTAAAAAAACAATAAAGTGCAGAAATGAGGAATAAAATGAGGTTGCGATGATACCGAACGGAGAAGGTCCGTCGCCTCTTCAAAACCACACAAGCAATAAGAAAGCTCTACAGGAGCTGCTCCGCACGAGTGATCAAAGAATTAGTCTCCAAGTATTCCATATTGTGAAAGTTACATCAATATAATATCATAAAATCTTGACTAAAAAATGATAATGAAAATGATTGTTAAACATAAAATAATAGAAAGTTCTAATAAAATTCTAAAGAAAAGTCCTAAAGAATTCTAAAAAATATATTACTATTTTTGTACATCATTTTTATCATGTAAAGAAAAAAGTTCAAACAAATTTAAATAATTATCAAAATCGTTCAAAATAAAATACAAAATAAGAAAAAGAGACCCAAAGGGGTACAAGCTGGAATCCATGAGGTGTGCTGAAGCAAGAGGCTCAATCAGCTTGAATCCGCAAGCTTTTTTTATAAGGGGAATAAGTTTATGCCAAAAAACCTATGGACCTAAGGGGAAAGTATTGCTTGGTCCGGTCCAGTACCTGGCCTGCTAACCACAAGTCCACTAGATTTTTCCCAGCATGTTAATATTTTATTAATTATTAACTAATTAACAAAAAAAACTAATAATAAAAAAAAACAAAGCAAGGAACGTGTGAACAATTAGGGTTCACTTGTTGTGACCCTTCACCTTCTATGAACATAAATTTTTTCTCATTCTCCCCCAAAACGTGAAAGGAACAACCTCTCTCTCGCCTTCTCCTCCGATCAAACCTTCACCGCCGTCAGCCTCATCGTTCTCTATCATCAACTTCATCCAGCTCTCTTCTCCGTCTGATTTCTCTACTCAAGCATTCACCTCGAATCAAAATTAGATCGATATTTCAATCGAAACTCCAATTAGAATCATAGTTAGGGAATCCACGATTCAGCGATGGCAACGAGAGTTCGTGGAAGAAAAGCGCGCAGAGCAAGTGATAACTAGCAAGAACTAGTAAAAGAAAGTATCAATCAAGATGTTCCGAGAGCTTATCAATCGGAATCCGTCTGATGCGGTCTTGACAATGATGGCGAGAGAAATATTGGGTATATACGCCCTTGTTTCAATATTCTTCTCCTATTCTTCTTTACGGTTTTGTGTTTTCCCCGTGTTCTGTTGCGTTCTATTGCCGAAGTTGTTGATCTATTTGTTCTGTGTTTGTTGTAGTTTGATGATAATGTGATGTACAACAGAAGATGCAATCATGGAGATGGAGAATGGAAGGTGATTGCGGAGTTGTGGAAGCGCTGAAGATTGGAGTTATGGTGTTGTTTGTGAAGCCGATGCTTGATGAAAATGAAGATTGATGGAGCAGAGAGAGAAACTCAATGCAGTATGAAGATTTGATTCTTGAAGATGATGGAAAAGGTTAAAGAAGTTGCAGAGAAGAAAGGGTGACAATTATGGAAAGAGAGTGCCAAGAATTCTCTGATTTTTCTGGTGAGTTTGCTGTGGTTGAAGAATGAAGATGCGAGGAGCAAAGAGAAGGTTGAAGATTCTTCTGCAGAATGAAATATGAATGAGAGAAGACGAAGATTGCAGATAATGAAGAAACTTGGTGATGGAGAGTGAAGATGAGAGAGCTTGGAGAGAATTTTCAGAGATTTTTGGTTTATTCTGCAGTTGGAGAATGAAATGAAGAAAGATAATTTCCTGTGATTCTTCTTGCAGTAGTGAAGAATGCCATTGAAAAAAGGTGACTCTGTTTTATATTCTATGTTTTTTAGTTTGTTGAAAGTTAGTTAGAGCTGAAATTTTGTTAGGGTGAAAAACTGTTACAGTTGTTAGCTGTTAGTTGTTTGTTTGAGAATTGGTTAGAAGATGAGAGTTGGTTATAGGTAGTTGGGAGATTAGAATTCTGTTTTTTTTTTAAATTTTTTGGAAATTATATTATACTGTTTTTGTCATTTTTCTTTTGGGCAGGAAAAAAAATCTTGTTAACCATTTCGATATGTTATTCAGTCAGATTATTCTGCTGGGACACTACGCAGGGTTATTAGAAAAATTGCTTAGGTGTTTAGAAATTAAATTGGCTGAATTTCTGTTAAGACTTGGTAGTAACAGCTTGGAGATGGAAACTGTTATGGTTAGCATTTTTTTTAAGACTTCAGAATTAATCAGAAGATTAAGAAGCTAGCTAGATAACTCGAAATTCAGTCGCAAGTTAGTTATGGGGGTCCAAAGACTTATTTTTAAATTTTGTTAGCCATTAATGCACCCTCAGGATCAAATCTACTTAAAGCCAGTTGGACTACCAAAACAAAATTTTGCACAACAAGACTGTTAGCAATTAGGTTGTATAAAAACCCCACCCTCTATTAGTGCAGGAAGCTTAAAATAAAAATGCTAATTTAAAACACCAAGTCATTAACTAAAGCCCCTTAGACAAAACTTGTTATGCTAGAAAGAGTCAGTTACGAAATATTGTAGTTCTATTTGATGGCCAGGAAATTAATTGAAAGTTGATTACTAACTATTAAAGGCTAGTTAGATGCTGTTAGTTCCTAGTTCTATTGGAACCATTAAAAAACCAGTTAGTTCTATTAGATGGATAAAAAAAAAGGTTGAAAGTTAGAACTCTATTGGTTTAAATTCTTTCCTGATTTTCTATTAGTGAATGCAGCTTAGTCATTAATCTGCTATTTACTTCGTTTTTTTCCGATTTTTTCTGATTTCTGGTATGAACAAAATGCAGGGATGTTTTACAGTTTTGGTTTCAAAATTGTGGACTGTTGAACTATGTTTGTGAACATAGCAGGGCTGTCACATTTGGGTTCAAGTTCTGTGCAGACCTGGAAATGTTTTGGCGTGACCTCAGCAATTGTACGCAGGGCTGGTCGAGTTTGGTTGAACACAGGTTTGTTATGAATTGGTATTTGATTGAATGTAGGTTTGGACATGTCTGAAACAGGGCTGCAGGACAGTTTGAAGATGGTTCAAAATTAGAGTCAAGGAAATTTAAGAAGACGACACGAGAAGTTAACCAAGGGAAAGAAATATGTATTTTGTGCTAAATGAAAGGGAATTTGAAGATGGGTGCTTGACACGAACATGGAATGAAGATGTTAGGGTATTAGAATTTTAGGCTTAAAACAAAAGTTTGTGTAGTATATTTTTTTTGTATGATGTTTAGACATGATAATCATGGCTTTGTAAATTGGATTTATGGTTTGTAAATGATAAACATTGTAAAACATGAATAGTGAATGCTACACTTGGAATTTGAACTTGGATGAGTGACTTGAAACTTGGATGAGCTTTTGATATTCATAATCAAAATGAATGAATACGTTGAATTCCTTGAACCTTGAATCATGATGAACTTTGCTTTTGTAACTCCAAGCACTCCAAACTCGCGGGTTCTGAACTCATGGCACTAGGTAGTCATTGTGATGGATAATTCACAATAACGCATTTGACTTAAATTCAAATCTTAAATCCAAACTTCAATATTGAATCCAAATCAACTTGTATGATAAGTAATTTGAATAGACAATAAGATCTCGATCCTAAAGAATTCATAACCCCGCCCTTTGTATTACGACTCATATTTCACGATTCAATCCACAAATCTTGACAAATTCCTTCCCTAATTGACGACCTTGAATTATCAAAGATGAGCATAGAAAATAGTGAAAGAGTATGATCAAGATTAACATGAAACTTTATTCCCATGATCTTCAATTACTGAACATTTATCAACGAATAGAAACCCTGATTCTTTGATCTGATGTAGGGAAATAAAACCTAATCTCTAGAACTGATGAAACTGGATGGAGAGAAGTCCAAAAATGAGCATGATTAAAACCCTAATTCCACAGCCTTGTACCCCAGGAAGACCCTGAATAATCAAACTTATTCAACCCATACACCTCAAATCAACTGTAACCCTAGCTCCCTAACTGCTGATCTTTTGAACCTCACGTGATCCATTTTATGAAAATGCGTGCTATGCACATGACCCATTGGAATGATGCAGAGGAATGCAAAGTCTAAGCTAGAATAAAAGTGAAATTAGGAGGGAATATTTTGGGGTGCAACAGCTACCCCTATTTAATCACCTTCAACCTAAAGGAGAGATTGGCGTCAGCCTTTCGAACTTTCAAGGTGGAAGAAT